GGGTACATTGGGTAGGTACATTTTTTATAGGAATTTTGGAGATCAGGGACTTTCTGATTTAAGTCCGCGGATTGTATTTTATAAATCAGTGGCGCCCTATTAAGCTAACTTTTATTATTGAATCTACTCCCACACCACTGAGTAGCCGCGAGCACTTTGTTGCGCTGGCCGCATTCCTTAAGAGTGTCTTACAGTACCTAGGCCTATTGTGGTTTTTTAATTTAAATTTACTATTCAAACAGTTTAAGGGTAATTTTACGCGCAACAAGATGCTAAAAAAAGACAACGTCCAACTCAAACAGAGGGTCGAGTTACTGGAAAATACTGCGGATAGATTTGAACAGCACTAAAGAGCTAGTAACCTGAAAATAGTAGGCGTTCTGAAGTAAAATGAGCCCAATCTGCATAAAATAACGAAAAAGATTTGTAAGGCCGTGGATGTTACACTGGATGATCGGGACATTAGAGAGTGTTATCAATTGGAGAAGTGCGATGGTGGAAAAATCCTGGAAAAATTTGAAAATCCTGCGAAGAGAAAGCAAATCATGGAGCGAGTCAGGTAAATGAGGGGAATCACTGTGAAGGGGTGTAATCTGGAGAGACAAGATAGATAACTGTACCTTAACGATGATATGATAACATATTACAAAAGACAACTATTCCAAAAGGCTAGGGAACTGAAATCAAGGTTGAACTTTAAAGCAGTCTACACATCAAACGGTAATATTTTCCTAAAAAAATCTGATGGTGATAGGCCTGTCAAAGTAAAAACTGAGCAGGACCTATGGGAAATGGAAAATAACTTGAACTAGTGCCTGTCACCCTCATGGATAAAAGTAAGGTTCCTGTTAAATACATATACTGATCTTTGCTCCTTTAAATGTTATACCTAATGAATACAGAAAGAAGGAGGCTATACCGGGTGTCTACGAGATCAGTTTCGCGCTGGCATTTGCTGTTTTTTTTTTCGATGGCAAAGATTTTTGGTATGGAGTGTAGGTTTGAGCAATGTCATCTTTTGACATGTGTGTCAATGTTTAGTAACTTCCGGTTTGACCGGAAATGGTCCTAACTCCGTAATTTTGAATGGCATCCCAATAATTTTTTCGCATTTTTGGTATCTGCGGATCATCATGTGTACGAAAACGTCAAATTTGAATATTTTTGAAGAAATTTTAAAACTCTGGATGAAAAGTTATTTTTGAACAGAAAGTGACGGAGCGGTCTTAAAATTGTTATTTTCAGCCCATACAATCGTAGAAAAATGCGAGTGCCAAGATGTTATGTTTTGCTTGCTCTCCAAAGGCATCCAAAGTTGGAAAAATCACATTTTGCGTGATAACTCAATGAAATCAGTGAAATCACCCAACTTTCACAACAAGAGTTTTTTACCTTTTTCAAAATAAAACCAACTATGCATTGAAACTTTTCATTTATGTTAGTTTTTAATTATTTTCTTATTATTTTTATAATGCACTAGGTACTATAAATGATAAAACTACTTATAAATGAACCCCTGTATGAAGAACGCTTTTCAAAAGGAGCTGGTGTTTTTTTTTTTCTTGAGAAGCCATTGACAAGATCTGTGGGCAAGATATGTTTATTTGTCATTGTTTGACAACTCGGGAATTTGTAAATACAAAGTTTGAATACAGGGGTTTATTTATCAGTAGTTTTATCAGTTATAGTAATACATAGTAAAAATATTGGAAAAATAATTAAAAACTGGATGAATAAAAAGTTTTAATGCATAGTTGGTTTTATTTTGAAAAAAGTAAAAAACATTTGTTATGAATGTCGGGTGATTTCACTGATTTCATTGAGTTATCACGTAAAATATGATTTTTTCAGCTTTGGAAGCATTTGAAGAACAAGCATAGGATAATAACTTGGCATTCGCATTTTTTTACGATTGTGTTGGTTGAAATTAACAATTTTAAGACCGCTCCGTCACTTCCTGTTCAAAAATAAATTTTCATCCATAGTTCTGAAATTTCTTCAAAAATTTTCAAATTTAACGTTTTCGTACACATCATGATCCGCAGATACCAAAAATGCGAAAAAATTATTGGCATGCCATTCAAAATTACGGAGTTAGGACCATTTCCGGTCAAACCGGAAGTTACTAAACATTGACACACATGCCAAAAGATGACATTACTCAAATCTACACTCCATACCAAAAATCTTTGCCATCGAAAAAAAAAACCAGCAAATGCCAGCACGAAACTGATCTCGTAGACACCCGGTATATAGTGTGTGACAATCGTGATTCCTCAAAAAGCCCATGTATGATACATGTAAATATACGAAGTATATATAAGAATTATGAAAATATTTTGGTTTTCGTGGAATGTACTGGTAAAAAATTTGATATCATTATGTCAGAGACTCATACAATCAACAGCACATGTGATTTCAACAATCCAGGATATTCTATATTTTGGAATGAGAGCATGCTAAACAAATTTGATGGGTGTATATAATAATAATTTATACTAAAACACAAATATTCAGGGAATGCCATATTATAGGGGCAGATAATGTAAAATGTCTCAAATGTACGGTATCCAAGAGTGATAAAACCGTTGATGTTTTGGGCTTCTATAGATCGCATTTAATTAATCCTAATGATTTCCTTAATAATTTGGCTGTTATTTTGAAAGAGAATTATGTTATTGATACCTGATACATTTTTACTGGAGACATAAATCTGGATATTGTGGGTGCTGATAGGGATACTGTCATTAGAGAGTTATTGGAAGTATTAAAACTGCCTCGCAGTATCAAGGATCTACGTTATTTTATTAGTGCATCAGCACTATTTTTCCAAGACAAAAGCAGTTATCGGAAGACTGTAGTAGGTGCTAGAGTATTACCTTATTTTGTATTCATAATTTTGACAGCTGATAGCTGTTTCTATAAATCTCAACCTCAAAAGTGTTTATTTTTGTTTGTGATTTTCTGCTGATACCCATTTTTTGATGTTACCCCACAGTAAAATGGAAAACTATTGTAAAAAATAAATTTTCTAATAGTTATTTATGTATCAAGGGTACTAAGTAGATGATTATGCCCTGAGGGCGACAGTCTTACAAAGCCGAGGGCCTCTGGCCCGAGGGTTCGTAAGTCGCCCGAGGGTATATATCTATTAGTACCCGTGGTGCATACAAACTTTAATGTCATACCAGGGGGACTTTATTTAAAATTGATGCAACTTTGCGTACACGCAAACGACGTCATTTGTGGCGTAATTGTCAACCTGATGTTTAGAATGGTACATTATGCCCGCGCGGGCCAGAATGTGTACTTTATGCCCGCACGGGCATAAAGTGATGAATTATGAGATGGTATCGAAGGTATAGAAAAACAATAATGTACTGGTATGACATAAATAAAATTACGTCATCGTCGAAAAGCGAAACGTCAAAGTCGTCCAAAATGTCAGAAATTTGAAATAAGGGAAGTTTACAGCCTCGCACTTACCATTCATAAATGAAGACAAGCAGTAACCTTATTAAGGGAATCCTTATTTTCGGATTCAAATGCGCATGCGTAGATGTCAAAATAAGGCTAATTTAAATACTGCTTGTCCTTATTGCACGTCCAATCAATAACTCTCTTATAATTATTTGAGTTTGCTACATAGTTATGATTTTTCTAGTATGATAAATGCACCCACAAGGGTACAGGGGAACTTGGCAACCTGTGTTGACCACATATTCGATAAATGTAAAAGTGAATTATATAGGTAATGAAATAAATTAGGTTATTTTAACTAGAGATTTTACAGATCATTATCCCATTCTTTTTCATAACTTACTAGTTTGCTTTCAGAACAAATGCCAGTACTGAGAATGCACTTTGTAGGATTACGGAGACCATTATTAGTAAATTAGATAGGGGCAAAAGGGTTTTAGGAATCTTTTTAGATCTAGCCAAGGTCTCCGACACTGTGGCGCATCATATTTTACTGAAGAGGCTGGACAAAATGGGGATTAGAGGAATTGCAAACAACCTCATAAGTTCATTTCAAAAGGTTAAAATTAAAAACTGTTCAAGTGGTTTAGTCCTTGCTGAGTATGGTGTGCCGCAGGGTACTGTACAGGGTGGGCCAATTTGGACACTTTCTTATGGAAACACCCTTTATTTTTAGAGATAGAAAAAAATGAACCCCCCACTCTGAGGCTCAAATTTCATGAAATTTTGATTGGTGCAAACCGCATTTTGATATCTTAAACCGTTTAGCCGCTAGAGGGCGATTCTCGATTTTGAGCAAAATAATGTGAAACCATCATAACTTTTTTGTTTATGAAAATTATTGATTTCCGTAAAAACTTTCTTGAAGCACTTTTGCAAGCAGAATTCAGTGACGTTCTCAGTTTTTTTCTAGTTGGTCCCAACGTCGAGATATTGACCAAAGTCTGGGTTTTTTCAATAGGACACCCTATATATTAATAGCTCATTAGAAAGCTCTGCTTT